TTATACTGTTACATTTATTAAAGTAAAAGGATCGGAAGAAATTCTTGGAGGATATAATCCTTTAATATGGAAGAAATCTCTTCGATTTAGAGGCGAATATAGTCAAACAAACTAAAGATAGTTTATATTCTCTTTTAAAAATAAAGATAATTTTAAAGATTCAATTTTAAGCAAGGTAAAAAATAAAAATCGTGCAATATGTTATGGCGATTGGTGTGGTCCCTATTTTAGTTCTGACCTTTATATAGGTAATAATGATGATGAAAATCGAAATTTTATGATAATTGTTGTAATTTAGCTAATTATGAGAAGGAGATAAGAAATACAAGAAAAAATTTCTCAATTGAAGAATATGAAGTATTTCAGATTTTGAATTGAAATATAGGAATTATTGATTTTCTTTTGTTTTTCATACATATAAGCATTTGAATTTCAAATTCAATTTTTATTTCATTTTATAAGATTATTAAATAAATAAAAATGAAAAATTGATTAAAAAAACATAATTGAAAACTTTTTCATCCGAAGCGATCGCACCCGAAACCTAAAAAGCAAAAAAAAATATAACAATAAAATAAGAAAATAATCATTTGATCATTGACCCGAAATGGTTGCGGGAACAAAACCCTAATCCCATTTGACAAAAGTCGAAACCTTTGATTTCGATGGGGTTCGAAGGGTTTCGATTTGGTTTGAAATTGAGATTCGAATTAACTGAAATTGGAATTGGATTTCCAATTTCAGATACTCTTTTAATTTCAGTCACAACACATTAAAACTAACTAAGATATTAATGACCAAAATTAGTATTTATTGCCGATCAGTAAAATAAATTTAGAATAGTTGTTCAACCCAAACAATGGGATTTGCAAAAAATTTTTCTCCTCCAATTTTTAAGAGAAAATGTTAGCAAATTATTTCCCAAATTAAGTCAAAATTATATTGAAATATTAGATGATAATGAATATTATGATACTAAAATTGAAGTCGGAGAAGACCCAAATGTGCAAATATTTCGTGCACACATGATTATTTTAAATTATCGTTCTCCATTTTTACGAACTCTGGCATTAAATAATGGTGAAATGCTAAATCACATTAGATTACCAAACGTTTCTCCGGAAAATTTTCAAATTATTTTGAAGTAAGTTATATTTAGCCGTAATTTTCCTTGATTTTATGTTTACTATTTACTATAGATTTATTTAAATTAGGTACATTTATGGCGGGGTCATTTCATTAAATGATGATGAACAAGGCATTTTAAATATCTTAAAGTTATTGGCGGCTGCTGACGAACTTCATCTTCAAGAACTAATTGAATACTTACAAAAGTATTTAATCGAAAATAAATCTAAATGGATGGAACAACATTTTGAACACTTTCATAAAACAAGTTTTCAATTTGATTCTTTGTTAATACTTCAAGAGTTTTGTACAGATTTTATGGCTAAATCACCTGAAAAAATATTCAAATATACTTCACTTCCTGAAAACATATTAATTTCACTTATTACAAAAGACGACTTGCAGATAAAGGAAGTTGAACTTTGGGAACATGTATTAAAATGGGGGCTTGAAAATAATCCTACGCTCGTTCCAGATCCTATAACTTGGTCAGATGAGGATTTCTAAATAATGGAAAATACTTTGCAACATTGTTTACCATTAATCAGGTTTTATAGTTTATCTTCTAAAGAATTTGCCAAAAACGTACGTCCGTATAAAAAAATTTTAAATCCTCAACTCTATGAGAATTTAATAAATTCTTATTTGAATTCTGATAGTGTACCAAGTGATAATATTTTATTCCCTAGATGTAGAAACGTTGATGGAATTATTGATACAAAAATTGTTAATTTAAATATTGTCTCCATAATTTCAAGATGGATTGATAAGGTGGAAGTTGAAAGCAAATTTGCTTATGTAAGAGAATTGTATTTACCATACAAATTTAAATTATTATTAAGAGGGAGCAGAGATGGGTTTACTTTTGAAAAGTTTCATAAATTATGTGATAATAAACCTTATACAGTTACATTCATTAAAGTAAAAGGAACGAAAGAAATTCTTGGAGGATATAATCCTTTAATATGGAAGAAATCTCTTGACTTTAGTGGCGAATATGGTCTAACTAAAGATAGTTTTATATTCTCTTTTAAAAATAAGGAAAATTTTAAGGATTCAATTTTAAGTAAGGTAAAAAATATAGATCATGCAATATATTATAGTGGTTGGCGTAGTTTCTCATTTAGTAGTGACCTTTTTTTTAGTATACTAAAAGGTAATGATTATATTGTTTGTAATCAAACTGATTATGAAAAGAAGTTAATAGATTCAAAAAAGAAATCTCAATAGAAGATTATGAAATATTTCAAATTTTGAAGAACGAGTCGTAACGTATATTATATAATTCCAATTTAGTAAATTAATCAAATTTTAAATTTTTTTAAGTAATAAATGTTCTGAATCAGATGGTTTAAGTTAATAAAATAAAATTTCAATTGGTTCCTTTTTTGAGCATTCACCTCTCATCATCAAATGGATGGATGTGTTATATTACTGTATCGAATAGTTTACCTTTCATTATATATATTATTTTCATTATATGTATTGTTTATTGTTATCAAAAAGTGTAGTATAGTAATAGATTTTATATAAATAGACCTGTAAGCTAACCTCAAGTCAAAAGAGTTTGATCAGATAATTTCTGAATAAGTCTTGGGACTAATAAGTTTTAATAAAGTTACTATTTTACACTTTCAACCTTCTTTTTGAATTGATCGTGATAACCTACTACACAAGTAAATCGTGATAATAATTTGTTTTATTTGTTAATCATTTATTTCTCTTGGGAAAGGCCTTCAGGATAATTGTGATATTAAGTCTATTTAGTTTTGCTAGCTTGGTTTTAAGACGATTTCAGGTCTAACACCAGATGTTATAGTGTAACCAAATGAAATCTACACTCAAAATTATCAATTCATAAAACTCCAAGAAACAATATGTAATTTGTCAATTCTGCCAGTTCTAATGTTTCTGGAATTTTCTGATTGAAATATGAGATCGTAGTTGAATAGGTTATTTTAACCAATTAAATAACCTTTATCCATTGATCCTTTTAAGAATTAATTGGTTACACTAGATAGAATTTAGTTTTATTAGATTTCACATTTGCTTTGTTTTAGATAGTGTTACGCTCAGCTCTTTGTTGCTACAAAGCGCAGGACTAAAATTCAATTCTGATAAATGACACTTTGCCGCAAAAAAAGTTCGATTTATATTATAAGCGTAAAGCTGATGTAAAAATTATATAATAAAATCAATTCTTCAATCTGCTCTTCTAAATATTCCGTTTATTAAATCAATTGAAACAAATACTAAATGCTAAATAAAACTCAGAAAATAAATGAAAAAAGCTTTTATCAGAAAAAGAAATATAATCGTAAAGAAATTTTATATAAAAAAAATAAAGAAAAACGATCTCGCTAGTTCCTCACATCGTTTATTATATAGGAAATTTTATCCAGGGACGGAGGGCAAAAATCGTTCTAATTAATTGTAACAAAATTCTTAAGCGAAATGTTTGCCTTGTAAATCTTGTAACATTAGGAAGAATTTATAATTTTAGAAGAAATATGAACCTTCTCTCAGACCTACTACAGGTGTAAGTTAAACATCTATATTCTACTTATTCTATCATTTTATTCATTCTATGGGAATTGGAAAAAAAAGTTAGAAATGTAGAAAATTGCAGGAAAAAATGTCAAACAGACTTTACCCAACCACTAAATCAAAGTCACAATTTTGCACATCACTCAAATAAATTATAAATCAAATCATATTACGATAATTTACTGAAATGAGGCCAATAATGATTCATGAATAGGTTGTAATCAACAAAGTGAGTTTGTAAAACGTTTGAGACACTTTCAAAAAAGACCAAAAGTGGAATTTCGCCTCATATGTTTCATAATTATTATCTATATATTAATACTTTAATTTAATTTTTAACGTTCAAAAAGTTCCTGAAGCATTTTTCGCAGGTAATGAATAATGGAAATGTCCCCTTCCAACTGAACGATTTTGGAACGTCTTCATCGTCCTTCTTAAGTATATATTGTCATAAAGTACTTCATTATCATCATATTTTCTTTTTCCACTCAATAAACTCTGTCGTTATTTCCGAATTTTGCAGTTATTGGAAGTACTGCGAGCATAATAAATAACTTTGTGTTGACTTTTCAGGTATGGGAAGAATGGTCGTATATATTAACTATTATTAAAAAAATCTAAAATCACCTAGTAAATATAAATAAATAACGGATGATGAATCTAAATTACTAACACGAACGTTCGATGCAGGATTGCGTACTAAATAAAATGAAGTTAGAACTATCAAGGGCGAGCGAATTGAATAATTATTATTGAATAACAGGTAATTTTCAGTGGTGCCTATGTTGATGATGAGTTCCTGAAATTTCTCGAAAAAATCTGACAATGATCATGCTAAAGGAATAACAAACACTAGATTCTTGTGTACAATAATTTTTTATCCTGAAATTAAAATCGTTTGTTAGAGTCCAATATTTAATTGAATATTTAAAAAGTTTGGTAATCTAGGATGGCGGGAATCTAAAATTTTTCTAAATTTGGTTGCTAAGCTAATTTTGTGTAAAACTAATATAAAAATTTTGACCAAAATTTAGAAATTCTCCTTTTATATTGACTATGTAAGTTAAAATAATCAGAAAGAGGCAATTTTCAGATGTAGCGTTGACCCTAATTTTGATAGCTTGATTTCTTTTTATCTGGTAATTAATAAGATTTTGAGGTTGATTTAAATATATTTATCAAAATCTTTCGAATTTCTCTAATGATTTAATTGGAAGATTTATGAATCAGAAATATGTACAATAAAGAGTTAATTGTAAATAGTATGCTTACCGTAACTTTTACATATAATAATGTACAGTGCTGCAGTATGATAAAAAATAAATAAATATACCTATTTTAAAAGAGAAAGTTTGAAGATTAATAAATATGGAATAGTAATAGATGAAAAAAGTTATTTAGGTTTAAAAAACATGTAATTAAAAAATAATTGCGAAGAGGCATGCCATTAAATGAATCATAGGAAAGACCGACTTTGTATAATCAAAGAAAATGCGACTATTTGCAAGTTGAAAGGTTTTTCACAATAGACTTTTATTGATGTAGTTAATAAATAATAAAGTTTTACATTTATAAATTTTAATGGTACGTAAATTAAATGGTTGAGATTTTACTTAGTTTTGAAATCTTATCATATTATTCATTCTTTGAAAAAATTTCTTAAAAGTAATAGCGGAATTAAAATCTTCATTATTCTTCTAATGCTGATTGGTAGAAAAAAATTGGTGTTTGATTAAATTATATTTTTTTTGATGTTGATATATTAATATAATTAATTGTCGCCCGACAAATAATGACTGTAAACTCGGAAAATACTGTATATAGACATATCGTTTGTCTTTAAAAACATTTCTTGAATAAAATTTGTTGAATTGAAACATTCGTTAAATATTTTTTTGATAAATTTTTATGATAGCAATTAAAAATAATTTTTTTAATATTATTATATGAATTATGAATTGAACCATTCAACTAATATAACATTGTTATCATTTTTATTGGATGGCTAGGAAGGCATAGTTTAAACGAATCGTTTTATTGAATATTATTTAAATAATTACAAATTTTAAAAGGACGTTAAATACTTGCTCTTAGCCAGATATAGTTCAAACTATAACCGTTTATCCTGAACACCGCGTAGAGGTGGCAAGTTCCGTTCAGGTTAAGAATATTTGAACCACCACATATCAAATGTGATAGCTCATTTGAGGTGAAAAAGAATGTGCAAACGAATATAATGGGGGTATAAATATAAAAAAATAAAATTAAAATAAAAAATCACCTCAAGACATCATCGAAATACATAAAGAAAGCATATTAAATTTTTTTTTTTTTAATATTATATAAAACAAAAAAATAAACTCTAAATTAAAGAAAAATACGGATGAAGTGGCCAAAAGAGGGAATACTTTAATTGCAAAAAGGATGACGAAACAGCCAACTTCATATAAAAATACGATACTTTGTATCGTAGTCATGCTTATCAAAAGATAAACACCCTAGTGAAAATTTATTAAAAGGGGAATTTTTTTTTTTTTTTTATATATTTTTTTTTGATTTTTTATTTTATTTTTTTTTATTTTTAAATTTTTAATGTGCCGGCCAAGACATGAAGAAGAAGTGGTAGCCAGTTTAAAAACGAAGGAGAAAGGGATAAAAACCGTAATCAATGGCTACGAAGGAACCAGGAGGATCAAGATCCATTGGTTCGGGCCACTGATTAGAATCAATGGCTACGTAGGATCCAGGAGGATCAAGATCCATTGGTTCAGGCCACTGATTAGGGGGGATAAAAGGGGTTTCAATAAAAATGCCTGGTGGATCAAGATCCATCGGCTCTGGCCACCTAAGAAGACGATAATTAATAAAGGGGCGGCTAAAAACGGGAAGGGTAAAGGAAGGAGTAGAAGAATTAGTAGAAGAAGAAGAAACTGAAGAAACAGAAGGGGATGAATAAGGGGATGAACTTAAAGAGGAGGGAGAAGGAGGGGAAGGGGGAGAACGATATGATGTGGTATTTGAAATAGAAAGAGAAAGGACAGGAAGGTTAGTAGGGGGAACAAAAGAAGGTGCAAGAATAGGGGAAGGAAATGGGGAGGGAGAAAAGTTTGGGCCAGTAGAAGAAATTGAAGAAGTAGTAGAGGAAATAGGAGAAGTAGTGGAACTAACGGGGAATGAAGGAGAGTGGGAATAAAAACTTAATGAAGAAGAAGAAGACAAAGGAGAAGAAGAAGAAGAAATAACTGAAGAAATAGAAGAAGAAGCAGCTGTAGAAGAAGGAGAAAGAGAAGGAGGTACAGCTGTTAAAAGGGGCGAAGAAGCGGGAACTGAAGGGGGGATGGTAGAAAGGGAAGTAGAAGAAATATTTCGTCGTCTTGGCGCGACAACTGCACGAGTGACACCTTGAACGCGAACCTGTCGAGTTCTTCTAGTCATCGTTTAAAGATTCCTTGAAATAATAAAATGTAAATTATTTTTTGGTTTCCTTATTTGTAAAGAATATTTTTTAAAAAAATCAAATGCGAAAAACGATACCTACCAAAATGTAAAGAAAGTTGGAATAAAGATAAAATGAAGTTGCGAGATCCTCAATTTATTTTCAAAAAAACAAAAGCTGGCCAATGAACAATCATCGACGATCATCATTACGTCATTGGTAAATAACATAATTTTCTAATAATCTAGAACTTTACACAAATAATGCATATCCAATATTTCAGAACACTGCTCATTACAAGGCAAGGATTCCACAATTTAATTCACATTTACACATACATATGGCAAAAAGTTTCTAAATGGTTTATTCTACTTGATTTATATTTACATGATAACACACATAAGCCCACAAATAATAATATATCACATTCATGTTTATAATTTCCTCATTCAACAATTTTCCCTTCATTTGTGTTTGAAGATTTTAAGTTTTCGAAATGTGATGTATATAATCAAGAACCAAAAATAGGCGGATGGATCCGATGCGAAATTGAAACAACTATAACAGATAATGTTAAAATTATACGTTTTCATGTGATTTAAATTAAATAAATAGTCATCAGATGCTGTATATATTATTCTTAGATATTTACTCAAGTTATTTTTAACCTTGCTCTTGGTGTTATAGGACTTGAAAAGAGTTCTCAAACCTTGGAAGAACATACGAAGAAATACGACTGAAATTCGATCCCATTGCAAGATTTTGATGTTAGAAAACTATCCGTTTTTGTCGATCCTGTCAAGAGGTCGTGATCTTTGAAAGATGTTCGATGCCGCTTAAAGTGTCGTGATCCTTTAGAAAAAACCCGAATTTATCGAACCTATCAAGTGGCGTCCTTGAAATAAAAATCCGATTTTATCAATGGTCGTGATCTTTCGAAAAAACGGTATTAATCGATCCTGTCAAGTGATCGTGATCCTCGAAGACTATCTGATGTTATCGATCCTCTCAATAAGTCTTGATCCTTTGTTAAAGTCCGGTTCCGTTGAAAATGGTCGTGAATCTTGGAAGAAAATTCGTTTTATCCATCCTGCCAAGGGGTCTTAATCCTTGTATAAAATTCCCAAACTTATCGCCCTACAATGAACGAAGAGCCCTTTTTTAACATGAACGTGTTCTATTTATATTTATTATTATAGTTTAAGTTTTTTAAAAAGCTTTTTAACAAAATTCATTTCTTTTGGAAATGTTTATACAGTAGACTTCCGAGTTTCCGGAAACGAATATTCTTTCGGTCATTTCTTTTCAGTAAGTTTCATTATTAAATTATATAAATTAGAATTTATTCTTCTATTCTGACAATTATCCCAACTGATTAGATGGATTCTTTCGATTTGAAAACGAAATGATCAAATCCAATTTAAAGCGTTAGATAGATGATTTCCTTCTAGTTTGAGGCAATTGGTTGAAATTATTCTTTATTCTCTTTTCAGTTGTGAGGTTACTGGAAATTGATCTTAATTATGGGTTGCGATTGGTATTGACGTCCTCGTCGTGCACCTTGGGTATTATTAGTATTTACTAACGCTAATAGCGAACTAGTACCATTTCTCTTTTGGTGATTCACAAAATTAGTCCTTTTTTTTTAAAAAAAATAAAAAAAAAGATTCCTGAATCGCTTCATCTGAATTTCAATTTTCAGTCACTGTTAAAATCAGTTAATTCAATGATTTGGATGAACTAAACAGTAAAAATGGCCAAGGAAATTTATTCACAAAGTATGGAACTACTTACATATTAATTGGTAAGGTTTTTATTTTTTGCTTTTTTATGGATCATTGAAATATTTATAACAAGAAAAAAAAAGACAGATTGTGGCTAATGACCCAATCAAATTCGTTAAAACTAATTGTAAAAAAAAAAAAGAAATATAGAGAAGAAAATAAACTAATAATAAAGTTATGTCTAGCACACTGATATAATGCAATTTTAAAATACCACACGTGTTTACACTGAACAAAATTTAATTCAAGAATTATAGCTCGCTATACATTGTTTAGTCTTTAATATTACTTTAACGAGAGATTTAAAATGGTAAGATTGTCGCCAAATCTTTTGTTTATATTATTAAGTATTAAACAAATTATTTCTTGAAAACTATTCCATTATCTCTACAAATACTTTTCATTTCCTAAAAGTGATATCATTGAAACAATCTAGTTGAAATTGAATTTTCGGCCGAACAAACGTTATTTGGTCCTTTGGAAACGCAGGGGAATTGTTGCCCTTCTGGAACGAATAAACACAGGAGGAATCGAAGAAGTCGTGGTTACCATAAAGGTTGAATTTAACTTTATTTGCTTTTATTTTTATTTCCTTATTATTTGAATAACTTTTTTTATTAGGACTGATTGTGTTTTGTTGGATCTGATCTAATAGAATGGATCCTTGAGAAGAACGGGACTCGGCTCGTAGCATTCGGTACAGCCGAGTGTAGTGTCTCAATTGTCACAGTATTTGTGGCAAGACATAACAGAATGTATTCCGCGCCAACCGCAAAAGAAAGCGAGAAGTTGCCAAAGCACAAGAAGATCAATCTCAGCAGACAAGACATAACGTATCCGTCTCTATCCTAAGCAAGAAGAGAGGTTGAAACTCAAACGATGGATGGAAACAGCGCGATAGTATTACAATAAGTGTTTTTTGCGGGCAAAGTGTTCAATGCCGCAAACTCCAATAATACCGAATTTAATCGGTCCTTAAAACTCCTCATGATATTCGTGATGAAGTAATAAATTATTTACTTAAATCACATTCATCAAATTTGTTGCATAACGAAAGACATTTAAGATGATATTTCGCTCTAAAAAAGTCTACAATTTTATCAAAACATCGGGGTAGTTCTAGAGGAGAATATGCATTTCTTTGTAAGATAAAGTCTGCTGAAAATCTTCCAACAGAGCTCCATTATGATGCACGACTTGTGATAAATTGGCTTGAGAATTTTTATCTTTGTATTCCTCAACAACTCAAGATATGGGCCGAAAATCAAGGTCCTACACATGATGCAGTGATCGCTCTATGTTTTAAGATAGGATGAAATATGAGAGTTTTTTTTTTTTTTTGAAATTAATATACGCTCAATTATTATTTTGATTTTAATATACACATTTATCTTCAATTTCATTCATTGGATTTGGCAATGTTCAAATATATAAACTTTGCTTATAAATGTTCTGCGGCCTCTAAGAATTATTACTATATTACATATTTCTTTATTTCTAAATCATAATTGAAAATTTCTTAAGAATTTTTTAATAATATTTTATTTCCATTTAATTTTTGATCATATAATTTCATTTATTTTATTTTATTATGAAGGACACCAGTATCAAGCCTATGGATCAGTATCCCATTATTTTCTTGTATTCTAAAGGAATGTTTGAAGCTATTTTTGTCTTATTCCGTATTATTTTGTTTCAAGATCATGGTCATCCTCATAATCATTAAATGGTGGTTGTCCAGATTCGATTTTCCACATAAGCATCCCAATACTATAAATATAATATCTTTCCGGCAATGACTTCAGGAGCTATATAAGGTAAATTTCCTAGCACTTCCTGATGGCTTGTCAGCGGTCCACAAATCCAAGATCATTAATATATTACCAGATTGCAAATTCCTTATGGATAATTTCATCTTTATGAATGCAATTAAGTTCATCTATTATGATTTTGTAGTAAATATCTTCTTAATTCTATATATCCATACAAGACAATACTCTTTCGTTGATGGGTCTTGAGTACCCTTACTTTTAACAACCACCGTCAATTTTCCAAGTTAAAAAGTGATTTTGTCTATACGTTTATTTATTTATTTTTAATGATAATTTAAGATAAATTACATTTAAATAAATTTTTAAGTTACCTTTCAAACAAAAATTTGTTAGCAAGTTAACCTTTTAAGGATCACATGTTTACTACCAAACAAACCTTTTTAATTCTAGATTGTTTTCATCCTATCTATCATAACCTCCTTCGATCCATTTCGTCAAATAAATATCGTAACCTCCCCCCAGTTAAATATTTAAGATTCTGAAACTTATCAAATGATATCCACTCAAGTATATAATCAGGGGAGCGAGCTTCCATTTGCATTTCTGGATTAAACTGTCAACGTCCTAATGTCCAATTTGAACATTTCGATTTTAAATAGTTATGAACACAATATTCACAATATAAAGTTGCCAAACAAACTTGGTTGTAATGATTACATAATTTTTCTAAAGAATTTATAATCATAATTTCGTTTAATACTTTTATCTCTAAGGAATATATAAGCGATGGTTAGTTTCTGTCTTGATTAATGTCCTTCGTCGTCAGTAATATAATCCGTCAATGCGTGTGCTTTCTGATACGCTGAAAAAAAAATTATTATTTTTTAATTTACTCACTAAATCAACAAAAAAAAAATCATGTTACACGAATTTACGTAATTCCACAAAAAACGAAAAAAAAAAAAAAATACATTTTTTGGCTAAAGTTTTTCAAATATGTAAATATGTAATGGAAAAATTTTTTTTGTTCGTAGTTCTTTCTAACGATATCTCCGACAAAATCTCCGACAGCTATTAGGTTAACCAGTTCTCCATATATATATTCTACATGACCATATATAGGTCATAATCAATTCAATTCCATTGGCTGCACAATTAAAATAGTAACACGTATATATAATGGGATTTTTTTCCTTTTTTTAAGCATGACGATTTCTTCGCTTTTCTTTTTTAACATGTCTAATCTCAATAGAGATATTCTTTTCTTGATATGTGAAGAATTACAAGATGACCTAAAGTTCCTCTTTTCATGTCTTTTAGTTAACAGATTTTGATGTAGAACCATAGTTCCAATTTTATGGAGGAATCCCTGGTGTTTTAAAAATGAAATAAATGATAAAGCCAAAAGTTCTTTATATCACGTTATCACCTTCTCTTTATCCAATGATGTCAAGTCATATCTCACTAGTAAGGGAATCTATTTACCTCAAGTTACACACAAATCACTTTTGTTCGATTATCTGAGCTTCTGTAAGAGTATTAATATAAAAGCTATAAACGAAATACTTATTATTGGTTGTTCTTCCTCAACTTATAAATAATTTCATTTACAAAAAGAAATTTACAGCTTTTTCATGAGAAAATGTTTACAATTAAAGTATTTTGATATGATATCATTATCATTTAATCTCCAAATATTTAATTTTAAAGAAGTGAAAACATGTCTTGGTTCACTTTGTGAATCACATGTGATATGTCCATTAATCCAACGTATTTTTATGTATTAGCACGTATTTTTCAATCAATACAAAGGCTAATCATTATCAACGATGGTATAAAAGCCAATGATGGAATTGTCCAGTTGATTGAGGTACAGAAGAATTTAAAGTACTTTAAATGGACTGATGATACATTAATGGACTTTTATGAATTAAATCATCTTAATGATCATGAACTTGACATTGTGATGAAGGAATTGTATGAAGAAATTTTTTTAACATTAGAGAAAAAGACAAATACCCTGAATTATTTGATAATTAACCTTGAAGATTATTGTTATTATGATCTATTTTTGCCGATAAACATTTCAAAATTTCATAACTTAAAAAAAATTCACCACAATCATTGGCGTGATTAAAAACAGCGAAGGGCACCTTAGGAAAATTTTAGTCGACTATCTTAATAACGTTAATTATAATAAAAACTATTGTCAAGAATCTCTTCTCCTTATCCGTACGGTTTATGAAAATTATCCTTTAATCGAATATTTGTCACTCGCATTTTCAAGAACAACGATTCATTTTGTTGAATTTGAAAATTTATTAAAAACATGTCGAATGTTGAAGACATTATTATTACATATCACTATTTCATCTTATACTCCCAAATCGTTTGAGGAGGAATCACGAGAAAAATTATCAAGTGTATTAATAAAATCAGCACCAGAAAATTTAAGAGAAATTAGATTAATGGAAATGGAATTTCCATTGGAAACCTTTGATGCTTTTTTAGATAATTGGAGAGGTCGAACTCCACTTTCGATAATTGCAAGTGTTCCCTTATATCAAAAAGAAGAATTTATGAAAATATTAATTAAGTACATGGACAATGTGGGATATTTACTTTGGTAATTATTTGTCGGATTAAATATTAATTTAATTATTTTGGATGCGTTATTCCTCATTCATTAATGCACATACGAATTAAGTTGTAAAGCCTATTAGAATAATACAATAAAAATATTATTACTCAAAACTTAAAAAGATATTCAATTTGATATTTGACATAACTAGTTTCATAGTGTTACAGGTTCGGATTTTGGATTCGAATTAATTGTATATCTTGCGTTATAAATGTATCGTCATCATGTTTTCCGTGGTATTTATTATCTTGGACAAATTTTTTCCCGACCTGTGCATATTTAATTAACCGTTTAACTGCGTAAGTTATCAGTACAGGAAAAATGTGCTCTGTAGAGATTCTATACATGAAATTTATTATTGTGAAGAGATAAATTGTTCAAAAAACAAGAAAATTCAGAAAATATGTTGGATCTATAGTTGCGGGGCAAAACCTTAAACCCATTTTGGCAAAAGTCGAAACTTTTCAAAAATTGTTTCGACAGTTTTCGATGGGTTTCGAGGGTTTCGATGGGTTTCGATGGGTTTCGATGGGTTTCGAAAGTTTCGACGGGTTCGATAACAACTTTGCGAATTCTTAAAAAGGACGTAAATATATGATTATGTGATGATGGCCAGCATTAAATAAACTAAATTATGGACATAATCGATAATCAGACGTATATGTTTATTTTTATCTGCTTAAAAGGAAATAAAATTTTAAATATGAACGCGAGCAGCTTATTTCCTAGATCATAAGCATACAATTACCTTTTCCTTAAATTCATTCATGTAGGATTCTCAACAAATAGAATATGTTCCTTAAAGATGAAATATAATGGTTCAGTTTCTTCCGGGTGAAAAATCTTCAAAATCATCGTCAATTTTGAATGAAAACCTATAAAAAAGAACTCTCACGTTTGTAAGCGCGCGAGCTTTGACATGTTCGTCAAACTCTTTATAAACATTTTTACGTGCGCGCTTGTTATCTTATTTAGTTTGAAGTAATTCAAAATTTAATTAAAAAATAATTACTTGCATTTCATAACAAGATAATCATCTACTAATATTATGAATCCATTTCTTAGAAATCCCGTTAGAAATGTGTTCCATAATACTTCTATATGTGTTAACGGATCACCTGTCGATTTTCGTCGTGTATAATATTGGTTACAGCGATCGAAAGTTTTTTTTTATTTTTTTTTAAAACTATTTTTTTATTAATCATTAGGTTCTCTTTCGACTTGGGTCATTTCATAAATAAGCGATATTGAATTTTTTTTTAAGATCAGGTCGCTGCGATTTAATATTTTATTATTTCTCCACTCCATAATTAATTGTTTTATTTTTTATTGGATCGCATAGGTTAGGTTTTTCGGTTTTTTTTTCTTTGATAATTCCAATATAATTTTATAATGTTTCTTAAATCCAATTATATTAAAAAAAAAAATTTTATTATAAAACAATGGTGATGTAATTACGACTAAATCCTTCTATTTCTGCACTTATGCGCTACATTAAAATAGATTATTCAATTTTTTTGAATAGTAATATTATTCCTACCAAGACTAATCAAAAATTAAAATTTTTAAATTAAAAAATTGTATTTTTAATAAGATGGGTATTTGTCATTCGTCGAAACTTTGCCCCCGTCGAAACTTTTGCCACCCGTCGAAATTTTCGCAATTTTGCCTTTAATAAAAAAATTTGGCAAAACGTTTCGATGGGTTTCGATTTCGATGCCTGTCGAAACCTCCGGGTTTTGCCCGGCAACCTTAGTTGGATCTAAATGTAAAATTAGCTTTTATATATTACAAAAGAAGAACGACTTATGGAATTGGAAAAGGAAATTATATAAAACGTGTTTAGGACACGATAACTCAGAAATTTAAAAGATGTTGAATAATTCACTGATATATAAAATAACAGAATTATTTTTTATAAAATATTATTGTTAATATGAATGCCTCGCATCTTACCTCTACAGTTACATGTAATAAATAAATTATCAAAATTTCTGTTGATAGTTTTTCTTTCACAAAAATCCGAAATTGTAATCGAAGCCTTTTTGAAGATTGCTACCTAATTACCTTCTGATAAATCTGTTATATAATTAGACAATAAAACATTTTCGATATTGAAGATTTCTTTATAAGCATTTGTGAACCATCTTTATTTATTGGTTTACGCCACCTATATAAGATCACATTTTATAAATAATTTCTTATCTTCTACATCATAAAATTACAAACATAAATATTTATTGTTATTGAGGCTAAGACGAATTCTTGTCAGAAAACTAAAAGACTTATTTGAAAACCACGCTCAACTAAGTGTCATTACTTGTTAATTTACCAAAATTAAAGTATGTTCAAAAGACATGTTTAAAACTATTAAAGTTCAGTTAGTTTTATACATAAGAGATAAATTATCTTGATACTTACTTTATATATCCTGTTTGCATCAGAAAAATAAAAAATATTCATAATATTTATTATAATCGAATGTTCTTATTACAAATAATTAGTTTCTTGCTTTATTTTATATTATGTATTAATTAAATAATCTCAAGTTAAAAATTATGGTTACAAAACTTAACAATTAAAAGGAGTAAGCAGAAAATTGGAAAATAAACCTTGTAGGGTTGGAAAAGTTATTCCTGATCCTAGGACCTGCATGTCCTATTAAATGGACTTATATACTAAGTCCGTATATAATAACTTCAAGGATTTAGGTCCGATCAGGTCCCAAGGACTTAGGTCTGACCAAGTCCCGTCATATCTAAAAACGTGATCACTTAATTCAAAAAAGTAAAAATACTGATTCATAGATTATTATTAATTTTATTTAGTCTATATTTATTCTGAATTCTGAAACGGATTCTCATTAATTTTAAAAAACCCAAATTAATAATGAAAATAATCATGAAGTTATCCATATCTTATCTTTTTTTGTTATAAGTTTTTACAGCATTATAATATAATTGACAATGTTAAAAATTAATCCTGTAAATAAAATTACAAATTAGTGTTGTTGGAGATAAGACTATAGAGAGAGAAGGTAAGTATAAGTTATTTTCTTTTTTTTTATAAAAAAAATCAACTAACGAAAACTTTACCTTTTTGTAGCTTTATCAAATTTTTAACCAGGTAAGTCTACAGTATAATGGAAGAATTTCATTTTTTTATAAAAAAAACAGATCAATCAATTGACAAAAAATATTTATTTACCATTTTGTAGTTACCGGAATCTTTGAGCCTTGAATGTTTCGAGAGTAAGTCTATGATAGAAGAATTTTATTAAATTTTTCATTTAAGATTGAAACATTTTCAGTGTAGAAATGCATATTTCACATTTAGACATTTAGACAAATATTTCTCACTCTTTCCTCTCATCTTATATAAAATTCAATAATAGAGAAATCGACTATAGGAGATGGCTCCGAAAATAGAATAATTGTTTAATTTTAAATTGGGACAACTGTTAACTTGTGAGCACCGATATGTCTCAAATTCTAATTTGCCCAATTTTATAATGGGGGCATTATGAAATTTCAAGTTGATTACAATTGCAGATCCTTAAATTGGAGCACAACTTAATATTCATATTTGGTATTCTTGCTTTTCATCGCAGTATCTGCGCCATTCGTGATATTGATTACGTATGACAACGGGCCAAGTCACATGCCGAGAGACACTTAGTACATTTGGTAAATTTAGAAAAGCAAAAATATATTGTTAAATTTAGAGCATTAGTTCGAGAGCATAATGGTTTAGTTTAATTTATACCGAATCTTATCGAGTTTCTTTTGGCAAAGACGATATGTTCCGATAGTTTTTATATGAATTTTGCTGTAAAGAAATTTTGAAACGGGCAAGTTTATCTGTCAAGCGAAGAATTTCATAATTGAGATATTTAGTAAAACATGAATTCCTTATTTTATTCAAGAAG